GCCATCTTTCTCTGAGGAGATTGATGTTGTTTGTGTGACTGAGTGGCTCGCACGCTGCCGAGGCAAATTACATCATTCGGTTTTTGATGTGAATCTTTCTCACCAGATTGTATTTACTCCTATGGTTGTTTGACTGCATTTAATTCTGAGGAATAAAACCCGTTTGGTACAGTTCTGGAGTTCCTGCAGGCCTGTTTATCCGCAGGGTTGACCCACTCCACCCTAGAGGTCTTCGTGGCGGCCATTGCGGCCTACCACGCCCCTCTTGGTGGCCATTCAGTGGGAAGACACCCTCTTCTTACACGTTTCCTCCGCGGTGCGCTGAGGCCGAGGCCGAGGCCAGAGAAGCTTATGCTAAAAGGTGGATCAGGATGCTATTCCATAGCCTCGAGTCCTCTGATCTCCCCTCTCCTTTGGGGGTCAAGGCTCACTCCTCCAGAAGTTGGCCTTCGGGACGGCAGGCCCCGCCTACTTTAGCCACTCCTGGCTCCCCTTTCTCTCGTCTTAATTGTGTTCTTCCACTCTAGGCAGGGATTTGCAAGTCTGGCGGCGTGGGCATTCTCATTCCCAAAGCGTTCTCCGACGCAGCTCGAGTTCCTGAAGAGGAACGTCTCAGGTTACGTATGTAACCATGGTTCCTCGAGGGAAAGAGACGCTGCGTCTCGGTGCCATACTTCCGGCATCCCTGCCGGCACTTGCTTCATTCCTGAAGCTGACGCCGGCTCCGCCGTACGTGCTTTTATAGCTTCCTGGCCATGTGAAATCAGTCTCCCAGCTATTGGACTGATTTCACATGTGATTCAGAGCGTGGTCACAGAAGGCGTTCCCAAAGCATTCTCCGACGCAGCGTCTCGTTCCCTCGAGGAACCATGGTTACATACGTAACCTGAGACGTTTTCTTTGTAATATCAAAATGATGTTTACAGATTAAGCTTGGCAACTAACAGATGAGATACAATGCTAAAATATAGAAACGGAAAAAAAAACAATAGTTGTTTTGAGAAATCATATTGTTTTTGCATTTTTTTGAAAATGTACCGTGAATGTGAAATGTACTGTAAATTATAATACTGAAAAATAAATTACACTTTTAAATATATTAAAATAGAAAACATTTATTTTAAATTGTAATAATATTTCAGAATATTACTGTTTTTTTATTAAATAAATGCATCCTTGGTGAACATAATAGACTTCATTCAAAAACACTGAAAAATCTTACTGACCGCAAACGTTTGAATGGTAGTGTAATTTCCGTTTTGAGGGAGTCAGAAAGATTTTTTAACATTTCATAGGCTGTCACCAGAGCTTAAATGAAGTATTTATCCCAGAACTTTCTTTTAAAATGACTGGAGAGAAATGTTTGTGGGGATAAACGTCTCTAGAGCACGTCCTTGTAACAGTGGGTTAGAATGAAAGAGAGAGTTAAAAGCTAAAAAGCCTCTTTAAGCTGCTTGAATATTATTTTGTTCAAGGACAACAGAGCAGATAACACAAGAGAAAGCAGCGACACACACACACACACACACACACACACCTCCTCTTGCTGGGGATGAAGCCGACCTCCTCCTCATCCCCCTGTGGGCTGACTCTGCAGGCCTGCCACCACTCCTCATCTCCACAGTCCAAAACATGCAGCACATCTCCAAACTTAAAGCCCACGGCCTGACTCAGGAAACCACAGTCTGCTGTCTTATCATAGTCAAACAGAGCCCTGCCAAACGACAGAGAGAGAGAACATAAGTCATGGGGAAAAGAGAGGATAAAGGAGGACAGAGGGAGGGGGGTGGGGGGTTAAAAAGGAGAAACATCAAAGGAAAAGCATGGAATTGGGTTGAAATTGAGCAATACAGACCCTTTATTTTTGGCCTTTTTTCATTTTTTTTAAATCATTGGCTCTGTTCAGAATGGAACAAGCCTTCTGCTTTCTGCAAACTGTGCAGTGTGGACTATGTTAAACAGTATGCAGTATGATCCCTTTATGTTGTAACTCAAACATAAATATTGAGAAAGAGATGTAAAAATATATAGCATCCAGTTCATTTGTCACACTGGAGACGGAAGGTCAAGTTGAGTGCAGTGGATTATGGGATGCAGTATAGGCAATGTGCTCTGCTTATAACCATTTTGACAAATGTAGTAGGTTATCTAGGAAATCCACCCTTGCGAAAAAGAAGTGTGCTTAACTGTATTGAATGTGCACTTGCAGTGTATTTATTATAAGTATATTTAAAGACTGAAGAAACTGTAACTGCAAATAATATTAATGAAATCAAAGACCACTTAAGTGAGAGTTCACGTTCATGAATGTTTATTAACACACTTATGTGCACTTTAAAAAGTGTACTTTGAAATGTCGAATTATTGTCTTTTTTGTAGTTGTAGTGTATGTCGTATGTTTACCTGATATAAAAGCCTCGTTTAGAGTTACTTCGTAATGTAGCTGTTCCAGAGCCCATACTGCTGTTCATCAGCTGCTCTCTGAGGTCGTGAATTTTAGCTTCAAATCGACTGTACTCTGAACAAACAAACACAACTGTTATCCAACACTGCACAGCACATAAGAGCTACATTCATGAGAAATCAACCATTTGTGTCAGTTTGGACACTGATGTGATGTGTGTGAGAGTCTAATGTTCACCAGAATTCAGAAGTTTGGGGTCAGTAAGATTTTCAAATGTTTTTGAAAAAAGTCTCTTCTGCTCACCAAAGCTGCATTTATTTGATCAAAAATAAAATAAAAAACAGTAATATTATGAAATATTTTTATCATTTAAAATAACTGTTTTCTATCTGAATATATTGTAAAATGTAATTTATTCCTGTGATCAAACCTACATTTTCAGCATCATTACTCCAGTCTTCAGTGTCACATGATCCCTCAGAAATCATTCTAATATGCTCATTTACTGCTCAAGAAACATTTATCATTAATATTGAAAATGTTGAAAACAGTTGTGCTACTTCATATTTCTGGTGATAATTTTCGGATTTTAGAATTTCAGGATTTTTTGATTAATAGATTGATTGGCTCAGAAAATCACTAACTTGGCAATAAAGCTCTTTCTGATTCTGATTCTGATTCTGATTGAATAAAATAATAAAAAATAAACCTCACAAATGTTTGAACGGTAATGTATACAGAGGCTTCAAAATGTTTTTAAACGCTTACGCCAGAATTAAAAATGTATAAATGTATTTGCACTAGGGGTGTCACCATCATGTTTGTGTATCGTTACACCCCTAATTTGCACTATATAACAAAATATCAAAAAAAGTTATATTTATTTTAAAGAAATATAGCACTAGTACATTATTTTGCAGTTCCTAAAAGATTAATTTTGCACTGTGCATTTTACCTGCATTTGGCAAGTGTCAGCTTTAGATCCAGTGTGCAAGACAGTTCAGTCAGGTGTGTGTGTGTGTGTGTGTGTGTGTGTCCTGACCTTCTGGTCTGTACTGAGCGATGATGGTTACAGTCTGTCCTGCATTCTTCAAGGCAGCTGCTGCTTGTTCATGTGTAGCTGCCCGCAGATCCACGCCATTCACCTGAGAAACACATGCATATCATTGCAATCACATATCTCACACATCACTACAGCCTTAAAGGGTTAGTTCACCCAAAAATGAAAATTAGCCCATAAATTACTCATCCTCAAGTCATCCTAGGTGTATATGACTTTCTTCTTTCAGACGAATCCAGTCGGAGTTATATAAAAAATTGTCTTTGATCTTTCAAGCTGTCAGCGGGTGTTGCAGTGCATCAGTCCAAAAGGCTCCGATTTTTTTTTAATGGATGGACGCTTTTTATTTAACTTCTTTTGGACTGATGCATGCAACACACGCTGAGTGGCATTAAACAGCTTGAAAGATCAAAGACAATTTTTAATATAACTCCGACTGGATTCGTCTGAAATAAGAAAGTCATATACACCTAGGATGACTTGAGGGTGAGTCATTTATGTGCTAATTTTCATTTTTGGGTGAACTAAGCCTTTAACATATTACTGTAACATTACTGCCAAACTGCATTTCAACAAGAAAACAGCAGCCCCACTACACCATTATCAGAACTGCTGCATTGCATTATTTATTTTCTATTCTTAATTGCATTTTTTAGATCCCTATATGCTGGCATGAACTAATCCAAACAGCTCTTAAAGGGACAGTTTACCCAAAAATGAAGATTCTGTCATTTATTCAACATGAAGTTTTTCCAAAATTGTATGACTTTCTTTCTTCTGTTGAACACAAAATAAGATATTTTAAAGAATGTTGGTAACTAAACAGGTGGCAGGTAATGGTTGAGTTCCATGGTATTTTTTTCCATACTATGGAAGTCGATAGCTACTGTGCACTTTTTGGTTACCCACATTCTTCAAAATATCTTACAGAAGAAAGAATATCACACAGGTTCGGAACAACTTGAGGATGAATAAATGATGACAGAACTTGATTTTTGGGTGAACTATCTATCCCTTTAAGTGCAAAAAAATCCAAATCCAAATTGTTACTCAGTGCAGTTTTTTCAAATAATGGATCTGGTTAACGGAAGAAAGAAAGGTTTGGAATAACTGTAAAGTAAATGATGACAAGTAAATGATTAAGTAAATGATGACAGAATTTTAATTTTTGGGTGAACTATCCCTTTAAAATACATAATAATATTATGACAATTAACATGCTCAGCAATATTGTAAAAATGCACAATATGGGAGTATAAAAATAACTATTCCATATACTGTATATACATTGTTATATACTGTATAATAATATAACAATGCAAAAGCACATGTGAAAACAGAGCCTTTCATTTCAAACTGCAATTATGCTTTTCATACATGAGTACATGTGTATGTGTTTGCATGTTCTCACACTTAAGATCTGATCTCCTTTGCGCAGTTCTCCGCTCAGGTCCGCAGGGCCTCCTGCCAGGATGAAAGAGATGAATATTCCCTCACCATCCTCCCCTCCAACTATATTAAACCCCAAACCCGTCGATCCTCTGTGGATCACAACACGCCTCGGGTCCCTGTGACACAAGATAGAGTGAAGAAATAACAGAAGGTGAAGATAAATTACAAAAGAATTCCAGGATGATAATAATCGTTTCACTGAACCTGAAACGGCGGCACAGTGCTGTCAGTGAGATATGGTGAGTGATTAGATGCACATTTGTAACCCTGGACCACAAAACCAGTCATAGGGATCAATTTTTTGAAATTGAGATTTATACATCATCTGAAAGCAGAACAAATAAGCTTTTCATTGATATATGGTTTGTTAGGATAGGACAATATTTGGCCGAGATACAACTATTTGAAAATCTGGAATCTGAGGGTGCAAAAAAATCAAAATATTGAGAAAATCACCTTTAAAGTTGTCCAAATGAAGTTCTTAGCAATGCATATTACTAATCAAAAATTAAGTTTTGATATATTTACAGTAGGAAATTTACAAAATATCTTCATGGAACATTATCTTTAATTAATATCCTATTGATTTTTGGCATAAAAGAAAAATCAATAATCTTGACCCATACAATGTATTTTTGGCTATTGCTACAAATATACCCCAGCGACTTAAGACTGGTTTTGTGGTCCAGGGTCACATTTATGCTTGCAAGCTAACATTTATTAATTTATAATTTTTTTTAAACTATTGTTGATTTAGATAGCTGTTTTAGCTAAAGCATGCTCTTTTATTAAATTAAGTATAGAGCTTTTCACACTGTTTCAAAACAGCTTTACTGAAAATCGGATTGTTATTTCTATAATGCCTTATAATTTCCAATTAGCAGTTTTATGGCTCGAAGACATGAAAATATGTCAAAATAAAATAAAACCTAATTGTGACATTTTATCTCAAAATTCTGACTTTTTTTCTCAGAAAAGCAAATTTTACATCTCGCAATTGTTACGCACAGTGCTCAATAATAAGCGCACGACGACAAAGCAGAATCAACAACATCCTTTAATAATAAATCCACAAGGAAACTCAGGACATCACAGGAAACACAACAAAAAAAAACAATAACCATGACAACAATCCTGAGAAAAAATGCCACAATTGTGAGATGTAAATTTGCAGTTGCGAGAAATAAAGTCTCAGTGTAATGACACAACTAATTTCAGATTGTATTACTAAATTTTGAAATATATCATTATTGTGATAGAAAATGATTCATTTTGTGGTATAAGCTTCTGGTTATATTGCTCACATTTTTTTATCAGGGAGTTTCTAGATAGAAAGTTATTCCATAATTCTTTAGTCCTTCACTCCCTCTGTAAGGAAGCCAGAGGCACAGCGGCAAGGAACGAAATTAGACACAGTAAACATTTTCTGCTCTAATTATGAAGAAAATCTGCAGAATTGATTTAAATAAGGTAGCAATGCATTAAAAAGACCTAACACTACACTTTTATTGGTAGTTTGAAGCAATATTGGTTGACCACACACATGTAAAATGATGAATTGTAAAGAGCATATAGGAAATGCAGTTTTTAGGTGCACATGTGGAAACACACTAGCAAAATAATTTTCCAAACATTATTTATGAAAGTTACTGAAACGGATAACTCATTTTTTTATTCGCATTTTTATTTTCCTTGTTCTATAATTTTGTAAAAGTCAGGCCCTGCTTGATTGTCATTTGTGGACAAAATGTTGGCGGGAAAAATTTAGACAGACTCAAATATGTTCAGGCAGAACTTGATCTCATCTTGAAGGATTTACTTATCGACTTACTTTTGGTTAATGAATTTGCCATATGCCTCTGAATTAATATTTTAACTGAGTAATATAATGAACTGGTCACCACCTACTGGTGTAGCACTTCATTTGAATAACTAGGCTTATTTGAATAGCTAATAATAAATATAACATAAACAATAATAATTATTATTTAACATAACAGCTTTTGGGTATGTTATTTGGTCTAAAAGGGACTCTGCAGCCATGTGCTTAAAAATATTATTAAAAATGTTAGTGCTAGGGCTTTGTGGTTGTATGTAACTGGAGAAACCAAACAGGAAGTGTCAATGACGTCACTCAATCATTTTTGTTTAGTGAATAAATGTCACGTATTAAATCAATAAGATTTCAAACAAGCCCTCAAAACAATCTGGCAATCTGCTGTTTGCATCATAGGTGTGACCTGATTCTAAAATTCAATCTTTAACTTCTACTGCTGCTGATGATTAATATGTATTTAATTTATCGAAGGCAGGGTTATTATAGTTAAAACTATAACCATTCAAAAAATGTGTTACTTGAAATAAAAGAAACATGAACTGATATAAAATTAAATAATAATAATTACAAAAATCTAGTTACCAAAGCAACATTTTTCATTTGAATTTAGTTTAACTTGATGTACTAAAATGAAAACTAAGACTGATTGAAAAATCAGTACGATATATAGAGAGAGATATTTAAAAAAAAAAAAATACTAAAAATGATCAAATTAACACAAAATTAATACAATTGAAACTACATTTAAAATTAATTGCACTTTATTCATTTACTAAAAAAAAAAAAAGTATTTTTGTATTCTATCTACTATTTGTTTTCTTTTTATTTATTATAAAATTAACAAAAAGCAAAAAAAGGGCCTCTAACACTAGCTTGCTCTTTTTCCATTCTATCGGTTTTCTTTTTATTTATTATATAATTGAAAAAATAAAACTTGCTATGTGTACTACGTTAGGCTAACAGAGACTTGTTATAGCACCTGCATATCATTGCTCTTTTGTTGATTTTTATTGCTTCCATTGTCCTCATTTGTAAGTTGATTTGGATAAAAGCGTCTGCTAAATGACTAAATGTAAATGTATTATACTATTTTTAGTTAAGTACATCTTTTTCAAAAGGCATACTAAGTTAAAAGCAGAAATGTAGGAACTGTGGATATCAAAGTTGTTTACATTTCTGTATCACTAGTGGCACCAAACTAAATAGAAGAAAGTTTGGGATTTATGTACATCAAAGTAAACACTACAGATAGATAAACTGATTGCTTTTTCTACTGCATTCTAACATCCACAACCTGCCTGTAGTTCCTCCTGTGAGCTGCAGGTGGCAGCATTGAAGAGCCAGTACCACACAACAGCAAAGCTACAGCTATGTTGTTGCTTCAGTCTAATACAGACTATCTTTCCACGTGTCAGTCCTCATTAGTGATGTATCGTCTTACCGCCAGTATCTTATCGCCGATCTGTAGTCGCCCGTCCTTATGAGCTGCTCCTCCCTCGATGATCTTTGTGACATAAATGCTGTTGTCTCCAGGGATGTGCTGGTTCCCCACACCACCCGCTATACTAAAGCCTAGCCCTGGGACAGTAAAGGCACAAGTGACATTTCTCTTTATGTACAGAACTTTCAGTTCTCTGTTATTTGAAAAAAGATGCACTAAGTAACAATTTGGATGTTTTATGACAGTTGCAAAACCACTTAAAGGGATAGATAGTTCACCCTAAAATGAAAGTTCTGTCATTTACTCATCCTCAAGTTGTTCTGAACCTGTGTGAGTTTCTTACTTCTATAACATATTTTGAAGAATGTTGGTAACCAAACAGTTCGAAGCAGCCATTGACGTCCATAGTATGGGGAAAAAATAAAAAGTTGTATTTTGTACAGGTTTGGAACAAATTGAGGGTAAGTATATAATGATGAATAATGAATTTTTGGGTGAACTGTTCCTTTAAAAGAGATATATATATATACACATACATATATATAAGTATGTATTGTATCCATACAATATGTATGTATCCATAAGTATTGGAACAGTAACGACAAAATTAAAAGATGAATATGAGACAAAACTACAGAATGTCACATTTTATTATTAGCTGTTTCAACACATGTTTTACCAAATAAAAAGGACAGCACTTTTAGTGTTCATCCCACTATCTGATGTGAGCATAAGTATTGGGACAGATGAACTTAAGGCAGATGTAAAAGATTAAAAGCTATTATTTTGT